GGGGGTAGAAGTGTCCGGTGGGCAGGAAGGGGTAGAAGTGCCCTGTAGGCAGGAAGGGGGTAGAAGTGCCCTGTAGGCAGGAAGGGGGTAGAAGTGCCCGGTAGGCAGGAAGGGGGTAGAAGTGCCCGGTAGGCAGGAAGGGGGTAGAAGTGCCCGGTAGGCAGGAAGGGGGTAGAAGTGCCCTGTAGGCAGGAAGGGGGTAGAAGTGCCCTGTAGGCAGGAAGGGGGTAGAAGTGCCCTGTGGGCAGGAAGGGGGTAGAAGTGCCCTGTGGGCAGGAAGGGGGTAGAAGTGCCCTGTGGGCAGGAAGGGGGTAGAAGTGCCCGGTAGGCAGGAAGGGGGTAGAAGTGCCCGGTAGGCAGGAAGGGGGTAGAAGTGCCCTGTAGGCAGGAAGGGGGTAGAAGTGCCCTGTAGGCAGGAAGGGGGTAGAAGTGCCCGGTGGGCAGGAAGGGGGTAGAAGTGTCCTGTAGGCAGGAAGGGGGTAGAAGTGCCCGGTGGGCAGGAAGGGGGTAGAAGTGTCCGGTAGACAGGAAGGGGGTAGAAGTGTCCGGTAGGCAGGAAGGGGGTAGAAGTGTCCTGTAGGCAGGAAGGGGGTAGAAGTGCCCGGGGGGCAGGAAGGGGGTAGAAGTGCCCGGGGGGCAGGAAGGGGGTAGAAGTGTCCGGTAGGCAGGAAGGGGGTAGAAGTGTCCGGTAGGCAGGAAGGGGGTAGAAGTGTCCTGTAGGCAGGAAGGGGGTAGAAGTGTCCTGTAGGCAGGAAGGGGGTAGAAGTGCCCGGTAGGCAGGAAGGGGGTAGAAGTGCCCGGTAGGCGGGAAGGGGGTAGAAGTGCCCTGTAGGCAGGAAGGGGGTAGAAGTGCCCTGTAGGCGGGAAGGGGGGTAGAAGTGCCCGGTAGGCGAGGGGTTAAAAATGACTAACGCAGGCCATAGGCGGTTCGTTTATTGGCTGATTTTTCATCCAAAAAACGAAACATGGGTCGTTCTATTGCCACCAATGATTGCAAAAATCGTCAGTTTTTCACGAATTTTCCAGCATGACCGATAAAGGAAATGAGAAGGAACCACGAAAATTGGCCGATTATTCTTTCAGACGAAAAAATCAGCCTATAAATGAACCGTCTATGGCCTGCATTAGATCCTCCAAACATTAAATCGTTTTTTTTTTTTTCCCTGTTTGTAGCAGACGCCATAGAGAATACAATTTATTGTTTACGTCACGCGGTATTTGCGCAGCAGTTTTCAAACAATTTTTTTTTTGAGAAACAAAAGACACTTTGATAACTTTTAATATCAAAAACCCAATAAATCACCCCAATTTTGTGGTTTTGTATTTTTTCCCCCGGTAAAATATAAAAGCCCGGCTCTGATTACCGGATCGAATGATAACACTGGGAGTCACATTGTGCTCGCCCAATCGATGCGCAGCGACTTACACCCCCCCGCGCGCGAGTATTCAGATCAGCAGCACCCAGATTATTGCACAGAAATCCCCCCTCCCCCTAAAACACAAAAAAAAAACAAACCCCCCCCCCCAAAAAAATAACCACACAAAAAAAAAAAAAAAACAAAAAAAAAAAAAAAAACACCACAAGAAACAAAAAAAAAAAAAAAACCCACAAAAAACAAAAAAAAAAAGAACAAAACAAAAAAAACGCACGGATGGTCCCCCTCCCAATTGGGATGCATGTGCAAGGTGGCTCGGGTGCCCCATCTGTATGTTGAACCCCTCCACCGTCCCAGCCAGGTCACATGACAGGGCCATACACACACCAACTACGGACGTTCATCATACAAGATACGGCTCAGACGCCGTCCACACATCGAATATTATTTACATTGAAAGTCAAACATTTCTCCATCAGGAATTCACTTCTAAGGCTCTTTAGTGGCCTCCAGTCCCTGGGGGGGGCCCCCCCCCCAAGATAGGACGATGGCCGCCCGTGGTGGTGTCATGTATGGGAAGGTAGAGGGAGCGGACGCTTCCCGTCATCTGAGAAGAGCCTGAATAATTGACAAGACGATCCACCTTCTGCCCGGAGCCCAGATCGGTTTCCCTTCAATGTGAGAAGTCGATGACGTGGGGGACGGGGACAGTCTATGTACATAGGAGAGGTGTGCAGGACCACCGCTGGGTGCCGGGCAGAAAATGCTGGAGGATAACTGATCCAAAACACATTGAAGATAACCGATCCAAAACGCATCGTGCCAAAAGGATCGCATCCTCTCCGGTTAGGTTCGCACCTCTGCGTGCCGGGAACACGCGCAAAATCATGCACTGTCCCACAACGCAAAAAAAAAAAACCAAAAAAAAAACAAACCGCCACCCTGTAGCAGTGTCATTATCTGTCATTGGCACCCCTGTGCGTCGGGGGGGGGGGGGGGGGGGCGTCAACGCATGTTCTTTGGAAGAGTCAGGAATTTTTCCTGAATTTCACGTCATATAAGGATGGCCATTAAAATAAATGCGCCGCTCTACATGCGATATGCAGAAATAATCCGGGCCGGGTCACACCGGTTGTATCAAAGGAACGCACTGGAGTACGGGGCGGAACTTGGTCACCGAGATGACAGGGGGCGCAAGTGAGTCAGTAGAGGACACAGGGACCGGAGGGAGCGCTAGGAGCCCCTAGACGACACAGGAAGCGCGGGGGGGGGGGGGGGAGCGCTAGGAGCCCCTAGACGACACAGGAAGCGGGGGGGGGGGGTAGCGCTAGGAGCCCCTAGACGACACAGGGAGCGGGGGGAGCGCTAGGAGCCCCTAGACGACACAGGGAGCGGGGGGAGCGCTAGGAGCCCCTAGACGACACAGGGAGCGGGGGGAGCGCTGGGAGCCCCTAGACGACACAGGGAGCGGGGGGAGCGCTAGGAGCCCCTAGACGACACAGGGAGCGGGGGGAGCGCTAGGAGCCCCTAGACGACACAGGGACCGGGGGGAGCGCTAGGAGCCCCTAGACGACACAGGGACCGGGGGAGCGCTAGGAGCCCCTAGACGACACAGGGACCGGGGGGAGCGCTAGGAGCCCCTAGACGACACAGGGAACGGGGGGAGCGCTAGGAGCCCCTAGACGACACAGGGAACGGGGGGAGCGCTAGGAGCCCCTAGACGACACAGGGACCGGGGGGAGCGCTAGGAGCCCCTAGACGACACAGGGAGCGGGGGGAGCGCTAGGAGCCCCTAGACGACACAGGGAGCGGGGGGGGGGAGCGCTAGGAGTCCCTAGACGACACAGGGACCGGGGGAGCGCTAGGAGCCCCTAGACGACACAGGGAGCGGGGGGAGCGCTAGGAGCCCCTAGACGACACAGGGAGCGGGGGGAGCGCTAGGAGTCCCTAGACGACACAGGGACCGGGGGAGCGCTGGGAGTCCCTAGACGACACAGGGACCGGGGGGGAGCGCTAGGAGTCCCTAGACGACACAGGGAGCGGGGGGATTGCTAGGAGTCCCTAGACGACACAGGGACCGGGGGAGTGCTAGGAGTCCCTAGACGACACAGGGAGCGGGGGGAGCGCTAGGAGTCCCTAAACGACACAGGGAGCGGGGGGAGCGCTAGGAGCCCCTAGACGACACAGGGAGCGGGGGAAGCGCTAGGAGCCCCTAGACGACACAGGGAGCGGGGGGAGCGCTAGGAGCCCCTAGACGACACAGGGAGCGGGGGGAGCGCTAGGAGCCCCTAGACGACACAGGGACTGGGGGACTGAGGACCATGTCTGCGTAACATGCGTTGCAACGGCCACTTGCTGCCTCCATCGGAAACCTGTGTGACAGGGTGACAACACAGGAGTGAAACTGGGAGACAGGGACGGGGTGTTGTCACCCAATAACAGGAAGTGCCCAGACAAGGACCTTCACGGCAGGATCACCAGGGATTACTTTATGTAAAGCTGAAGATTTTAAAAGATGGACCAATTGAAATGGCGCGATGGAGGCGGAGTTCCGTGGGATTGGAACGTCAGGTTTACACGACGTTGAAGGGTTAACGCGACTCTGCGCACTTCCTGAGAGGCGAGGTCCTCACAACAAACCGCAACTTTTATTTTTTTATTTTTTTTTTTTCACATTTCGGGTCCAGCCCTGCATTGTGTCATCTCAGAAATCCCTCACAGGACCTACAGTCCCTCCGCTGGGACCATTGTCTGCAGAGCAGGAAAAACTGGATCCCGTGTTTACCTGGAGAGGTGTCCTCCATACCAGGTGTGGTCACCACCCTCCCCATTGTGGGCCCAACAAATCCCTGCGGTCCCTGTACTGCGCCACCGTGTATGTCAGAGCATGTATAATAGGGTGTGACTGCGGGGGAGGGGACATTAGAGTGTAAGCTCCTCTGGTACACAAACTGATGGGACTGTGGGGGAGGGGACATTAGAGCGTAAGCTCTTCTGTACAGAGACTGATGTGACTGCGGGGGAGGGGACATTAGAGCGTAAGCTCCTCTGGTACAGAGACTGATGTGACTGCGGGGGAGGGGACATTAGAGCGTAAGCTCCTCTGGTACAGAGACTGATGTGACTGCGGGGGAGGGGACATTAGAGCGTAAGCTCCTCTGGTACAGAGACTGATGTGACTGCGGGGGAGGGGACATTAGAGTGTAAGCTCCTCTGGTACAGAGACTGATGTGACTGTGGGGGAGGGGACATTAGAGTGTAAGCTCCTCTGGTACAGAGACTGATGGGACTTCCCTTCATGTTTCACACTGAACTGCTCCCCACCCCGGGGGGGGGGGGGGGGGGGGATCTCCCCGTTACTGACGTCTTGGTATATCAGAAGCTATTCTCTCTCTCACTCCCTTGGAACATTTGCTGTTTCCATGTGTTTGGCGACATCCAATGTTTGAACTTCTCCTCCCTCATCTCGCTCTGCGACAAAGCGCTGAAGTCCGCCACACTGCAGCATACAGAGCGGTTTATGACCGGCTGACGGGGAACAAAACTGACAGGATATGAGCCAAGTCAAGGCCATGATTTCTGGATGGATGTCAAAAAAAAAAAAAAAGTAAAAAAAGTGTGTGTATATACACACTACATTAAAAAGTATTGGCCCCGCCCTCCACATCATGTGATTCAGGTGCTCCAATCCCCTCCACATCATGTGATTCAGGTGTTCCAATCCCCTCCACATCATGTGATTCAGGTGTTCCAATCCCCTCCACATCATGTGATTCAGGTGTTCCAATCCCCTCCACATCATGTGATTCAGGTGTTCCAATCCCCTCCACATCATGTGATTCAGGTGTTCCAATCCCCTCCACATCATGTGATTCAGGTGTTCCAATCCCCTCCACATCATGTGATTCAGGTGTTCCAATCCCCTCCACATCATGTGATTCAGGTGTTCCAATCCCCTCCACATCATGTGATTCAGGTGTTCCAATCCCCTCCACATCATGTGATTCAGGTGTTCCAATCCCCTCCACATCATGTGATTCAGGTGTTCCAATCCCCTCCACATCATGTGATTCAGGTGTTCCAATCCCCTCCCAATCATGTGATTCAGGTGCTCCAATCCCCTCCATATCATGTGATTCAGGTGTTCCAATCCCCTCCATATCATGTGATTCAGGTGCTCCAATCCCCTCCATATCATGTGATTCAGGTGTTCCAATCCCCTCCATGGACACAGGTGTATACAATCAAGCCCCTAGGCATGCAGACGGCTTCTACAAACATTGGTGAAAGAATGGGTCGCTCTCAGGAGCTCAGTGACTCCAAGCGTGGTCCCGTGATAGGTGGCCACCTGGGCAATAAGTCCATCCGTGACATTTCCTGGCTACTAAATATTCCACGCTCAACTGTTAGTGGGATTATAACAAAGTGGAAGCAACTGGGAACAACAGCCACTCAGCCACCAAGTGGTAGGCCACGTCACATGACAGGGCGGGGTCAGCGCATGCTGAAGCGCACAGTGCGCAGAAGTCGCCAACTGTCTGCAGAGTCAATAGCTAAAGACCTCCAAACTTGGTGTGGCCTTCAGATGAGCCCAACAACAGTGCGTAGAGAGCTTCATGGAATGGGTTTCCATGGCCGAGCAGCTGTGGCTGCGTGTCCTCGAGTGCAGATCTCACATGTGACACGGATACCGGGGAGGGGGCTGCGTGTCCTCGAGTGCAGATCTCACATGTGACATGGATACCGGGGAGGGAGAGATGCATGTCCTGGAGTGCAGATCTCACATGTGACACGGATACCGGGGAGGGGGCTGCGTGTCCTGCAGTGCAGATCTCACATGTGACACGGATACCGGGGAGGGAGCTGCGTGTCCTGGAGTGCAGATCTCACATGTGACACGGATACCGGGGAGGGGGCTGCGAGTCCTGGAGTGCAGATCTCACATGTGACACGGATACCGGGGAGGGGGCTGCGTGTCCTGCAGTGCAGATCTCACATGTGACACGGATACCGGGGAGGGGGCTGCGTGTCCTGCAGTGCAGATCTCACATGTGACACGGATACCGGGGAGAGAGCTGCGTGTCCTGCAGTGCAGATCTCACATGTGACACGGATACCGGGGAGGGGGCTGCGTGTCCTGGAGTGCAGATCTCACATGTGACACGGATACCGGGGAGGGGGCTGCGTGTCCTGCAGTGCAGATCTCACATGTGACACGGATACCGGGGAGGGGGCTGCGTGTCCTGCAGTGCAGATCTCACATGTGACACGGATACCGGGGAGGGGGCTGCGTGTCCTGCAGTGCAGATCTCACATGTGACACGGATACCGGGGAGGGGGCTGCGTGTCCTGCAGTGCAGATCTCACATGTGACACGGATACCGGGGAGAGAGCTGCGTGTCCTGCAGTGCAGATCTCACATGTGACACGGATACCGGGGAGGGGGCTGCGTGTCCTGGAGTGCAGATCTCACATGTGACACGGATACCGGGGAGGGGGCTGCGTGTCCTGCAGTGCAGATCTCACATGTGACACGGATACCGGGGAGGGGGCTGCGTGTCCTGCAGTGCAGATCTCACATGTGACACGGATACCGGGGAGGGGGCTGCGTGTCCTGCAGTGCAGATCTCACATGTGACACGGATACCGGGGAGGGGGCTGCGTGTCCTGCAGTGCAGATCTCACATGTGACACGGATACCGGGGAGGGGGCTGCGTGTCCTGCAGTGCAGATCTCACATGTGACACGGATACCGGGGAGGGGGCTGCGTGTCCTGCAGTGCAGATCTCACAGGTGACATGGATACCGGGGAGGGGGCTGCGTGTCCTGCAGTGCAGATCTCACATGTGACATTGATACCGGGGAGGGGGCTGCGTGTCCTGGAGTGCAGATCTCACATGTGACACGGATACCGGGGAGGGGGCTGCGTGTCCTGGAGTGCAGATCTCACATGTGACACGGATACCGGGGAGGGGGCTGTGTGTCTTGGAGTGCAGATCTCACATGTGACATGGATACCGGGGAGGGGGCTGCGTGTCCTGCAGTGCAGATCTCACATGTGACACGGATACCGGGGAGGGAGCTGCGTGTCCTGGAGTGCAGATCTCACATGTGACATGGATACCGGGGGGGGGGGGCTGCGTGTCCTGCAGTGCAGATCTCACATGTGACATGGATACCGGGGGGGGAGCTGCGTGTCCTGGAGTGCAGATCTCACATGTGACATGGATACCGGGGGGGGGGGCTGCGTGTCCTGCAGTGCAGATCTCACATGTGACATGGATACCGGGGAGGGGGCTGCGTGTCCTGCAATGCAGATCTCACATGTGACATGGATACCGGGGAGGGGGCTGCGTGTCCTGCAGTGCAGATCTCACATGTGACATGGATACCGGGGGGGGAGCTGCGTGTCCTGCAGTGCAGATCTCTCTTCCCTCGGAATACTAGAGCGTTGGTTCCTCCGGCCATGTTTGGCCATTCCTGTCTTGAACCCGGATTACATGCTCAGCCTGTAGCGGGGGGGGGGAGGTGCTCAGGTGCGAGGAGCTCCAAGAACTCACGCTGGAAGCTGCAGCATGTCCTCACCTGTCGGTGTTCCTCCCTCTGACAGCTGCGCAGCCCCGGCCGCCCCCCCACAGATACGGCTCCTACACGCCGCTCACCCTGGGAACAGGAGCCCCGAGGCCAAGCTGCTTCACATACTTTATATGTCAATTATTAAATGGAAGAGAATCACAAGCAGCCAAGCGATGATTAGTGCTGGCCCAGCTCCAAATACTCCAAGGGAATCCCCGCCTCCCTCACAAGGCACTAGGAGGCAGAGCAGCGGAACTGTCCGCTATGAAGTGATTTTTGCCGTTTCGCATTTCATGCCAGAGGCGTCAGACAGAAACGCTTCATATTCATGTCTGTGACAAGGCGAGCCGCCATTCTACCGACACATCTGGCTGCAATCAGCAGCAAGCTTGACATTTCTCAGACACTTCAAGAGCCGGTTATGGCCATTTGGGCAGAAAGCAGTTGATGAATTAAAGAAAATATATATCTATTTAAATAAATATTCTATAAAAGCTCATTAGCCACCATCCTGGGTATATACTAAAGCCTGCTTATAATTTGGTCTTCCTTAATTTTACCACCCCCCACCTCAATCAGCATGCTAATGTCATTTTTAAAACCTGTTCTCATCCTAGGGCAAAAGGAGATAACCCCCACCGGCTTCCCCAGACTCCTCACCTGGGCAACGGAGATAACCCCCACCGGCTTCCCCAGACTCCTATCCTAGGCAACGGAGATAACCCCCACCGGGTTCCCCAGACTCCTATCAAGGGCAACAGAGATAACCCCTAGAAGCTGCCCTAGACTCTTATTCAGGACAAAACGGAGATAATAACCCCCGACAGCTGCCTCAGACTCCTATCCCGGGCAACAGAGATAACCCCCAGCAGATGCCCCAGACTCCTATCCCTGGGAAATAAGCAAAATTACCCCCACCAGCTGCCCCAGAGCAATGGAGATAACCCCCAGCAGCTGCCCCAGACTCCTATCCTAGGCAATGGAGATAATAACCCCCAGCAGCTGCCCTAGACTCCTATCCTAGGCAATGGAGATAATAACCCCCAGCAGCTGCCCCAGACTCCTATCCTGGGGCAATGGAGATAACCCCCAGCAGCTGCCCCAGACTCCTATCCTGGGGCAATGGAGATAACCCCCAGCAGCTGCCCCAGACTCCTATCCTGGGGCAATGGAGATAACCCCCAGCAGCTGCCCCAGACTCCTATCCTGGGGCAATGGAGATAACCCCCAGCAGCTGCCCCAGACTCCTATCCTGGGGCAATGAGGAAAATAACCCCCAGCAGCTGCCCTAGACTCCTATCCTAGGCAATGGAGATAATAACCCCCAGCAGCTGCCCTAGACTCCTATCCTAGGCAATGGAGATAATAACCCCCAGCAGCTGCCCCAGACTCCTATCCTGGGGCAATGGAGATAACCCCCAGCAGCTGCCCCAGACTCCTATCCTGGGGCAATGGAGATAACCCCCAGCAGCTGCCCCAGACTCCTATCCTGGGGCAATGAGGAAAATAACCCCCAGCAGCTGCCCTAGACTCCTATCCTAGGCAATGGAGATAATAACCCCCAGCAGCTGCCCTAGACTCCTATCCTAGGCAATGGAGATAATAACCCCCAGCAGCTGCCCCAGAATCCTACCCCGGGGAAACGGAGATAATAACCCCCGACAGCTGCCCCAGACTCCTATCCAGGGCAACAGAGATAACCCCCAGCAGATGCCCCAGACTCCTATCCTGGGGCAATGAGGAAAAAAAAACCCCCAGCAGTTGCCCCAGACTCCTATCCTGGGGCAATGAGGAAAAAAAACCCCAGCAGTTGCCCCAGACTCCTATCCTGGAGCAATGGAGATAATAACCCCCAGCAGCTGCCCCAGACTCCTATCCTGGGGCAATGGAGATAATAACCCCCAGCAGCTGCCCCAGACTCCTATCCTGGAGCAATGGAGATAATAACCCCCAGCAGCTGCCCCAGGATAAGGAAAACAGGAAAAGAATTAAAGTCTGGAGGGTGTTCATGTTGATGATGACAAGGACCTCTTCCTCACAACCCTGGCCTGGTGGTTGTGGGGGTTATGGGGGGGGGGGGGGGGATGACTTATTGGAATCTGGAAGCCCAAGAAACTCCTGGTCAGCTCCTAAATAGTATACAGCAGCCGTTCGAAACCAGGGTTCCCCCAGAGGTTGCGAGGGATTCCTTGAGCCGCTGCTCATTGACCTCCCATTTGAGGGTGCCTCCTCAGTTCCAGGCCAATGCCAGTCGCATAACACAAAAGATCTAAGGGTGGGAATCGGACCACCACTGAAAAGGGGAGGGCATTTCTCCAACTGACACCAATGAATTGGTTTCAGAAGGGGTCACCCGAAACTTCAAAATTATTTCTGGGGCAGCGCAATGCCTAAGTGGTTAGCACTTCCGCCCGGCAGTACTCGGGTCTTTGGTTCGAATCCCAACCACAGCACCACCTGCCTGGAGTTTGCATGTTCTCTCTGTGCCTGCGTGGGTTTCATCCCGGTACTCTGGTTTCCTCCCACTCTCCAAAGACATGCTGGTAAGTTAACTGGCTCCTGTCTACATTGGCCCTAGTATGTGTATGTATGAATGTGAGCTAGGGACCTTAGATTGTACGCCCCTTGAGGGTCAGGGACTGATGTGAATGTAATTATATATATATATACATACAGAGAGAGAGAGAGAGAACCGTTCTCCTGGCAACCACCAAACCCAGACACATCCATCGGATTGCCAGACAGAGAAGTGTGATTGGGTCCCTCCAGAGAACACGTCTCCTCTGCTCTAGAGTCCAGTGGCGGCGTGCTTTACACCACGGTATCCGACGCTTTGCATTGCACTTGGTGATGGAAGGCTTGGATGCAGCTGCTCGGCCATGGAAACCCATTCCATGAAGCTCTCTACGCACTGTTGTTGGGCTCATCTGAAGGCCACACCAAGTTTGGAGGTCTTTAGCTATTGACTCTGCAGACAGTTGGCGACTTCTGCGCACTGTGCGTTTCAGCATGCGCTGACCCCGCCCTGTCATGTGACGTGGCCTACCACTTAGTGGCTGAGTGGCTGTTGTTCCCAGTGGCTTCCACTTTGTTATAATCCCACTAACAGTTGAGCGTGAAATATTTAGTAGCCAGGAAATGTCACGGATGGACTTATTGCCCAGGTGGCCACCTATCACGGGACCACGCTTGGAGTCACTGAGCTCCTGAGAGCGACCCATTCTTTCACCAATGTTTGTAGAAGCCGTCTGCATGCCTAGGGGCTTGATTGTATACACCTGTGTCCATGGAGGGGATTGGAACACCTGAATCACAAGATATGGAGGGGATTGGAATACCTGAATCACACGATATGGAGGGGATTGGAGCACCTGAATCACACGATAGGGAGGGGATTGGAGCACCTGAATCACATGATAGGGAGGGGATTGGAGCACCTGAATCACATGATAGGGAGGGGATTGGAGCACGAGAATCACATGATAGGGAGGGGGATTGGAGCACCAGAATCACATGATAGGGAGGGGATTGGAGCAACTGAATCACATGATAGGGAGGGGATTGGAGCAACTGAATCACATGATAGGGAGGGGATTGGAGCAACTGAATCACATGATATGGAGGGGATTGGAATACCTGAATCACACGATATGGAGGGGATTGGAGCACCTGAATCACATGATAGGGAGGGGATTGGAGCACCTGAATCACATGATAGGGAGGGGATTGGAGCACCTGAATCACATGATAGGGAGGGCGGGGACAATACTTTGGGCAACATAGTGTATCTATCTATCTATATATATATATCTCGATGCATAAATCGAGGGCGCCATATAACTGCCTGTAGTAAATAACTCCATTTGTAGGGTTCCTCTGGGGCGGGAAGGCGGGGGTACCCCATCTGCCCCCCAATGATACATGATCAGTGTCACATTTCCATCGCACATTTGCAGGGGGATGATTTCGCTTCCCAATGCGTTCCCCCAGATATAATATCGACTTCTTCAGGAAACGTTTGGAGACATTTAGAGGATTGTGCGATTGGACAGAAATGCGTGGATGGCAGAGAGACTTGTGATGGAACGCAGTGGGGGGGGATTCTCCTGGAATTTCTGGTCTCTTATGAAGGAACATCGACATACATGAACACAGGACGTACACATAGGACATACATGAACACAGGACGTACACATAGGACATACATGAACACAGGACGTACACATAGGACATACATGAACACAGGACGTACACATAGGACATACATGAACACAGGACGTACACATAGGACATACATGAACACAGGACGTACACATAGGACATACATGAACACAGGACGTACACATAGGACATACATGAACACAGGACGAGTACTTTCTACGTACGGATTCCTCATACTCTGGATGGCGGGGCGGTAATAACACATCATTAAAGTGTCAGCAGCAATGGAGGTTATTTATATCAGAACATTCTCAGCTCCCCCCCCCCCCCCCCCCCATTCCAGGCATGTACCTACACGAAGGAGCCCCGCCGGGCGATCGGGAGCTCCTGGGGCCCCATGCGACTCGCATTCCACCTGTGTGAATGACATGGCCGGCGGGGAGGAGGAGGGGGACTCGGGACAGTCTGCTTACCAAGTCACAGATTAAAGGATCGCTACGAAAAGGAACATTGTAACATTTTCAGATACATCACCCAATACTGATACATTATTACAGATACAAACATAAAATATCTGAAAACTGTACAGCTGGGGTGAAACCAACACCAGGGGGCTCCGGACTTAACAAGGGGCCAGTGTACTGTCCAGCAGGCTTCGGGGGGGCCAGACTGTGGCCATTGGAAGCAGAAAGTGTCCTGGCGTCAGTGGGAGTAAACAATACCCTGACATCTTCGGTGTCGTTGGGAGGAACTGTGCTTCGTCGTTGGCGTCATTGGGTGGGAAGAACAATGCTCCATTACTGGTGTCACTGGGAAGAATGGTGCCCCATCACTAGAGTCATAGGGAGGAACTATGCCCCATCATTGGCATCATTGGATGGGAAGAACAATGCTCCAACACTGGTGTCACTGGGAAGAATGGCACCCCATCACTAGAGTCATAGGGAGGAACTGTGCCCCATCATTGGCATCATTGGGTGGGAAGAACAATGCTCCAACACTGGTGTCACTGGGAAGAATGGTGCCCCATCATTGGTGTCATTGGGAGGAACTGTGCCCCAAAGTTGGCGTCATTGGGTGGGAAGAATCATGCCCCATCACTGGTGTCACTGGGAAGAATGGTACCCCATCACTAGTGTCGTTGAGAGGAACTGTGTCCCGTTGTTGGCATCATTGGGTGGGAAGAACAATGCTCCAACACTGGTGTCACTTGGAAGCATGGTACCCCATCACTAGTGTCATTGGGAGGAACTGTGCCCCGTCATTGGCATCATTGGGTGGGAAGAACAATGCTCCAACACTGGTGTCACTGGGAAGAATGGTGCCCCATCATTGGTGTCATTGGGAGGAACTGTGGCCCAAAGTTGGCGTCATTGGGTGGGAAGAATCATGCCCCATCACTGGTGTCACTGGGAAGAATGGTACCCCATCACTAGTGTCATTGGGAGGAACTGTGCCCCGTCGTTGACATCATTGGGTGGGAGGAACAATGCTCCAATACTGGTGTCACTGGGAAGAATGGCACCCCATCACTAGAGTCATAGGGAGGAACTGTGCCCCATCATTGGCATCATTGGGTGGGAAGAACAATGCTCCAATACTGGTGTCACTGGGAAGAATGGTACCCCATCACTAGTGTCATTGGGAGGAACTGTGCCCCGTCATTGGCATCATTGGGTGGGAAGAACAATGCTCCAACACTGGTGTCACTGGGAAGAATGGTGCCCCATCATTGGTGTCATTGGGAGGAACTGTGCCCCAAAGTTGGCGTCATTGGGTGGGAAGAATCATGCCCCATCACTGGTGTCACTGGGAAGAATGGTACCCCATCACTAGTGTCGTTGAGAGGAACTGTGTCCCGTTGTTGGCATCATTGGGTGGGAAGAACAATGCTCCAACACTGGTGTCACTGGGAAGCATGGTACCCCATCACTAGTGTCATTGGGAGGAACTGTGCCCCGTCATTGGCATCATTGGGTGGGAAGAACAATGCTCCAATACTGGTGTCACTGGGAAGCATGGTACCCCATCACTAGTGTCATTGGGAGGAACTGTGCCCCGTCGTTGACATCATTGGGTGGGAGGAACAATGCTCCAATACTGGTGTCACTGGGAAGAATGGTGCCCCATCATTTGTGCCATTGGGTGGGAAGAATCATGCCCCAACACAAAAAAGGTAACATTCTAACATTTTCAGATACATCACCCCAATACTGATACATTATTACGGATACAAAAATAAGGAAATATCCAAAAACGGTACAGCTGGGGTAAAACTAAAGTTTGCTGTACACCCGGGGTCTCCAAACTTTCATAACAAGGGGCCAGTTTACTGTCCTTGAGACTTCAGGGGGGCCGGACTGTGGCCATATGAAGCAGAAACCATCCTGACGTTAGTGGGAGTAAACAATACCCTGACATCTTCGGTGTCGTTGAGAGGAGCTGTGCCACGTCGTTGGGGGTCATTGGCTGGAAAGAACAATGCCCCAACACTGGTGTCACTGGGAAGCATGGTACCCCATCACTAGTGTCATTGGGAGGAACTGCGCCCCACAGTTGGCATCATTGGGTGGGAAGAACAATGCTCCAACACTGGTGTCACTGGGAAGAATGGTACCCCATCACTAGTGTCATTGGGAGGAACTGTGCCCCACAGTTGGCGTCATTGGGTGGGAAGAATCATGCCCCATCACTGGTGTCATTGGGAAGAATGGTGCCCCATCACTGGGAGGAACTATGCTCCATAATTGGTGTCATAGGGTGGGAAGAATCATGCCCCAACACTGGTGTCATTGGTAGGAACTGTGTCCCATCATTGGCGAAATTTGGGTGGGAATAATCATGCCCCAACACTGGTGTCACTGGGAAGAATGGTGCCACATCACCAGTGTCATTGGGAGGAACCGTTCTCCATCACTGGTATCGTTGGGTGAGAAGAATCATGCCCCAACACTGGTGGCACTGTGAAGAATTGTGCCCCCTCATTGGTGTCATTGGGACACCGAACTTAACAAGAGGCCAGTGCACTGTCCATCAGGCTTCGGGGGGGCCAGACTGTGGCCATTGGAAGCAGAAAATGTCCTGGCGTCAGTGGGAGTAAACAATACCCTGACATCTTCGGTGTCGTTGAGAGGAACTGTGCCCCGTCGTTGGTGTCATTGGGTGGGAAGAACAATGCTCCAACACTGGTGTCACTGGGAAGAATGGTACCCCATCACTAGTGTCATTGGGAGGAACTGTGCCCCGTCGTTGGCATCATTGGGTGGGAAGAACAATGCTCCAATACTGGTGTCACTGGGAAGAATGGTACCCCATCACTAGTGTCATTGGGAGGAACTGTGCCCCACAGTTGGCGTCATTGGGTGGGAAGAATCATGCCCCATCACTGGTGTCATTGGGAAGAATGGTGCCCCATCACTGGTGTCATTGGGAAGAATGGTGCCCCATCACTGGTGTCACTGGGAGGAACTATGCTCCATAATTGGTGTCATTGGGTGGGAAGAATCATGCCCCAACACTGGTGTCATTGGTAGGAACTGTGTCCCATCATTGGCGAAATTGGGTGGGAATAATCATGCTCCAACACTGGTGTCACTGGGAAGAATGGTGCCACATCACCGGTGTCATTGGGAGGAACCGTTTTCCATCACTGGTGTCGTTGGGTGAGAAGAATCATGCCCCAACACTGGTGGCACTGTGAAGAATTGTGCCCCCTCATTGGTGTCATTGGGAAGAATCATGTCCCTTTGTTGTCAGTGGATGAAATATTGCCCCAAGGGCCGGATAAAAGCGAGCAAAGTGCCACATCCAGCCCCCAGGCTGCAGTTTGGAGACCGCCGCGCTGTACACCATCCATTATTTTAGTCTCGTGTCACAAAGATTAGGACTACTTTTTGCTGATTTCATTGCGACTTCCATAGACTTCTGTTACCGGTGAGAACCTGGGCGAAGCTTTTTGACGAACAGCGATTTTGGAAAAAGGATCGGGGATGTTTTCCCATTTCTAGCACATAGGCCAGCACACGGATATGAATGGGCCAATCTACATCACACGTCCTGGGAGGGTGCAGGACCAGTCCAAATGTGCCGCCATGCCTCATGCATATGCCGAGGGGAGCCGCCTGTGAGACATCAGGAGATCACAACCAGCTTCCAAATCCAAGATGGTGGCACTAGAGAACTGGAGCAACTACAGGGAGGACACGACTGGACTCCATGGGCTGGTAAAGGTTGGTTTCTTAAAAGTCAACCCCAGACGTTGCCCGACTGTGAGTGGCTATATCCAAAGTCGTAGTATCGTAGTTGAGTGGTATTCAGGGGCAGACTGACAACTCATGGGGCCCCTGGGCAATAGGGGATCATGGGGCCCCTGTGTCCTTGTCCAAACTCAAAAAAGCCTATGAAAAAGGTACCAGGGGCATCTCATGGGGCTCCCTACAGACCCCGGGCCCTCGGGCAGTGCCCAATTTTCCAAATGGTCAGTCCACCCCTGGTGGCATTGGTTTCCTCAGGCAGCGGTGGGCTTTCTTGTAACAGCAATCCAACCAACTAATTAGCCGCTGCATTGCTTTTACAAGCAGCGTGAGGGGACGTCTCCCCCCCCCCCCCCCCGGCTTCTTGGGCTCTCCCCTTC